GACACTGTGCCTCGGCGGCCCTCCCTTCCCCGCCCCGGGACTGCCACCGGCGCTTGGCTCCTTCGCCCTCAAAGTCCCGCTCCCCGGGCCGGGGGAGGGCGCCCGGGAGCTCTAGGGGCGCCCCCAGGGCGGTGTGAGAATGGGCGGGGAGGCGCCATGTTGTAGGCCGCGGTCGCCTCGTCGCTGGTGTAGCGGCGGGTATTCCCGGGGGGGGGGGGGGGAAGTGGTCACCTGTTGCCTTCCCCCGCGGGTGAGGCGAGGAGGGGTTGTCGAGTTTAAATTTGGGTAAGTGTGACACTGGGGCGTTAGGTTTTCTTCTTCCATATTAAGGATATGGTGATTGAAAGCTGCGCATGCTGTTTCTCGGGTAAAGCCAGTGCAGAATCGCAGTCAGAGGTAACCTGAACATGAAAATACTGCTCCGCTCATTCCTTCCGTGGAAATAAGATACCTGCACACCCTTCTTTTGTTTTCTGTCATTCCTTTTGGTATGTGTGTCTTATCTACCTGTTGAAAAGTCACCTCTGACATAAAACATACTGAAGCAAACAGAAATAATTAATTTCACTTGCCTTTTCCGTATTTTCTTAAGTGGTTCGCTGGAGGATACGGAAAATCACTGCTGAGGGTTTTGATGACAAAACTGTATTGTTGTCTGCATCAGTGATGCCGTGCTTCGTGTAACCCACTGCTGGGTTGTGGGAGGTCCCTGTATTGCTAATGCTGGTGATTTGCTTATCTTTACATATACAAGTACCTTCTGGGTTTACAGACGTGTTTTGCGAAGTTGGAGGGTCGTGCTTTCCTATAATAATTGATTACTTAATTGAGAGGAGAAAATTTTTTTTGTTTGTTTCATAACAGATTAAAATACTTGGAAGAAAAGAATCTGTTTCAAAGTCAGCATTTCTCTTTTCAGTTAAAGCCCATAGAAAGTTCCCAAAGAATGAGTCACACAGCTCGTTTCCCAGTAAGAACAAGGAAGACAAGGTTCAACAATTTTGTTATTTGATGAAGGTTAAAAAAAAAAAAGAGAAGAAAAACGTTGCAGAAACATTCTTAGACTTTTTTTTTCCCCTTAATGAAAACTGTATGCTCATTCTCTAAAAACAATAAACTGCAATCGCTATAATCCTCTCACTGTTTTAAAGAAATTACTTGCTGCCATTTGAAAGGTGCTGTAGATATCATTGAAACCTGTGGCAAAAGCGTAAAGTGGAAGAGCATGTTTCTTTTTCCTGTATAATGGATAACCAAAAAGGAAATACAGTGTTTGTACAAACATAGGTTTCGAACTATTGACATGTTTAATTTTCTGGCTGTGGTTAGTCTTGTTGAAATTGGACAGGAGGTAGCATATATGCATAAAATTAATCATGTGTACAGGGGTTGCAGGCTCTACTGAGGTGATGCAGTGAAGGCTATCGGGATAGACCTCAGGACTAGACAGGGCCTGGAGGCTTCTTCTGCAACTGTGTACTTTCTGAAAGAAAACTATGGAGTTTTGGTCTCATGTCTGCTGTTAGTGGTTGGTAGCATTCTTTGGGATTTCCTGAACTAACATTTGCTTTGCTGCAGCGTACAAAGGCTCCTTTCAGGATTAAAGTTTGATTGTGTTAAACACTGCACAAGCATATAGTAATGCATAATACCTGCAACTAGAGCACAAAGTACACATCTTGTCAATGTATTATGTTTCCTAAAATGTGCGATTCCTCAGCTGAGGAATGGTGAAGGGTTTCCATTTTCTCATGGTTAGCTAGCTGGTTGGGTGTATGGCTGGCATGGTTGCCTTTTGCTTACTGCCAAACTACCAGAGCCTCTGATAGTCAAGTGGTATTGAAGCTGGGTTACTGGGGAAACTGGTGTCAGAGTTCAATACCCTGACCAAGTTCTTTCAGATATTCCACACAAAGAGAGTTTAATGCTTTAATACCAGGTTTCCTTATTGGAAGATATTTGATGTTACGCAGGATTTTAATGTAGCCTAGTGATACAGCAATCTCCTGAAATCACAACATGAGCCTAACATAGCAACTGCAACACACAACTGAACCACAAGACAAACAGCACACCCACTACCAGTCCCTGTGTGCTCACCATCATGATGCTGGGTGTCCCCAGTTGCCAGGGAGGAATATGTGACTGGAAGCCAGCTCAAGCCCCCTGCTTTCTTCAAAATTTGTTTTATTGGTTGCTCAGTTCTGGTGCTCTGTGTTGGGCTGAGCTGTGTAGACAGTTCCCCCATGCTGGTCTGGCTGACTCAGGAGGATAGTACTTCCTATCGATTGCTTTAGGGAAGGCCATTTGCACAGCCAGTTGTCCCACTCTGCTGATAGAGCAGTTTTTCTAAAACAAAGGGGGCCCTGGGCCCCCTTTGTGATGAACGAAGTTCAGCTTAATGTGCAGCAGCTGTGGCCACTGGCTGTGTTCTTCTCTGCGCTTCACGGGCATATGCCTGTCTTCTTTGAGCTTTTTTCCATTGTGGGGGATTGTTGATGGTTGACAACTGGAAAGCAAGGGGTGATGCAAATGCAAAAGACTGTCTATCCAGTTCATAAAACCTTTTCCTTGAGCAGTGACTCTTTGAAGCTTTTACTCGTTCAATAGTAATGAGGGTACTTAATTAAAAATCTCTGCAGACAAACTGGCTTTGATTCTTGAATGTGATACAGGCCTGGAAATAAGAGGATGAAAGTGACTGGTTTATGGAAGTTACATGTTGATGTCATGCAGTTGAAAATGAGGTTAGCACGTTGCTGCTTTGACCAGAACATCCTCTTAAATAGGTGCCTGGTTAATAAGCATGGTGACTGGCACAAGTGGAACTACAGTCCCCACCTGTTGATTGCTCCTCTGCAGTAAGGTGACCACTGTCACATTCAGTGATGCGTGCATGATCCCACATAGTGTATTAGTCAATAGGCCAATTTGTTAACAAAGTTTTACATGTTCAGAGTATGTCGGTTTTCTTTGAGAAGCCTCTGCCATCCAAGGTGTTAATTCTCTTCCTTATCTCTTTCTCTCAAGGTTTGGACATCTAAGCGTGGCTCACATCTTGCTCGAGAACGGTGCTGATCTCAATGCACAGAATAAGTTAGGAGCCAGTGTCCTCACAATGGCCTCCAGAGGCGGCCACATCAGCATGGTGAAACTGTTGCTAGAATCTGGAGCTTTTGTAGACAATTATGACCATTTTAGCACAAGTGTACTTAACAGCAGCAGAGACGACCTTCCTGATATCACTCCACTAATGGCAGCTGCTCAGCATGGACATGAGGCAGTGGTACATCTGTTATTAGACTGGGGAGCTGATTGTAATTACTCTGTGAAGACTATGGGCTGGAGTCCCTTAATGTTGGCAGCTGTTAGTGGAAAGGTGAGCTTGGCACAGCAGCTCATGGAGAAAGGTGCCAATCCTGATCACCTGAATGTACTACATAAAACACCTTTTGAAATCTCTGTTGGCTTCAAACACAAAGACATGAAGGACTACCTGGAATCTCTCACAACGATCAGACCCCAGGAAGGTATGGAGTGTTATTTTTTTGTTTCGCTTTCTGGAAGTTTTGATTGCGTATTTAGAAATTGAAGGGGTTATTTTGTACGTACATGATGTTTCTTTTCAAAAGTCTAGTTACAAGTTATAATGTTGGAGTAGGTGCACCTACCTTGGGTGAGGGAGGAATGCCCAACTTCAGCAGATTACCTCCATGTTAGCATAATGAGATTCCTGCCCTGCAATAAAAATGACGTGAAACGTTTTAAAATGTTCTAATGTTCTAAACGTTTTTTGCTTTTAGACACGTAATCCAGGTGCTTATTTAGAAAGAAAATTACAAAGGCCTACTTGAAATGGCACTAAAGAAGGGACACTAAAAACAGAATAGGATATGAAAGAAAGGGTGTCGCAGACTCAAAGAAAACCTAAAACATCCAAAACCTAGAAAACCCTGCCTTGTAAGGAAAGACTGAAGAAGTTCAATCTGTCTAGTTTCATGAGGAGGTGGCTAAGAGGTGTGATGATTTACTACAGTGTCCATGTTAAGGACAGGAAGTCCTATACTGGAGGGCCTTTTTATATGTCAACCAAAGAAAAAACCTGTGAGTTTAAAGTTAGAAGAATTTGAATGGGAAATAAGATGCTATGTTTTGTGGTGAAGCTTAGACCTGGAGTGACTTAGTAGAGGTATGCAATAGCTAACAGTTGCAGTCGAGGTTAAATGCCTTTCTAAAACTCATCATCGAATTGTCTTCACCAGGTTTTACGTACAAGGCCTGTGACATGCAGAAAACCAAATGAGGTTAACTTTAACGGTTTCTTCTACCATTCTCTGAATATATGAAACCTCCTCAAAGTCCTTTGATAGTGGACTGTGTATTGTAAGAAAATGAAGTATGAATGTGGATGAATAACAAGTCGGCATGTCCCCGAATTTTCTGTTCCTTGCAGGAGAGGGGAATACTTAATTAATTTCAGGACTTCATAAAATTCATAAGCAACCCCCTCTCTTAAAACGTGAATATGCCTGTTTCTGTGCACGCACAGATATAGGCACACATACTGCTCGTGTATGTACAAAACTAGATTAAAATGACATTATTTCAATGCAAATCTCAACTAAAATGAAGTTAAGAAATGCTGCTTTTATGGTTTTTAATTTTGCCCTGTAATGCATTCGTTATGTGCACTGAATGAGACAAGAGAACTGATAAAGAAACATTTTGTGACCGTGTAATTAAAGAATGTGTGGTGGTCATGTAGCTTTAGCTAGGACCATGGAAGGATAGAAGAAATCTATGATTTTGTGGAGAGAGGTAATATCTGGTACTAAGGGATCTGAAGGCTTAGGAAGGTGTGAGCAAATTTATACTACAACATTTCTCTTCAGTCTTAACCAGTATATCCAGTACCATACACTCAACCAAAAGGACAGAATAGTATATTGTTTGTCTTAACAGTATTTTTCCAAGATTTTTGAATTACTAAGCAAATTTTTATTCTCTTGACAGTTTTTTGTATGTAATTTTCTAGGATTTTTGTTTTTATTGAAGATAAAGGTTAAACCTACTTTCTGTCACCTGTCAGTTTGAAATGTTAATGAATTTAGTTTTTAAACATTTTTTATTTATTGCAGATATCTTTCCAAATTAGCTTTTCTTTCTAGCTGGTTCTATAAAATACTGTTATGAATGTCTTAGTTTTGTTAAAGTATTGTGGATTTGTTTCTCTTTCCTTCCCCAGAATTTTGTTTATGATAACAGAAATGCATTAAATCTGTTTCTCAAATCAGACAGTTTGATTTGGACATTATGTTGCACATTCAAATGTCAGTAAGTCATTTCAGAGGTTGAGACCTTACTCTGTATGTGGCTGTTTGGGGACACTTTTCAAGGTATTTGTGCTTTATGATGCAGAGCAGTGCTGGGAGGTGCTTAACCACAGCATTTGGAAGAACTGCACCTGGATATTTCAGCTTTGGAGTACTTGTTATGAAATCTAAGGATGTGGCTAGCCCTAGAAAAAAACCTTTTCTAGGAGCTACCACCCATCCAGTCATGCTGGCAGAAAGCCTGTGCAGTAGGATATCCCCTCTAAGCTCTTTGCCACTTGTGATACCCAAATAGGCTTATTTAAATATATTTTCTGATTATGTCTATATTACACTGCCATGTGGACATGTCCGCAATCCCCAAAATTATTAATTTTTGTTTACATTTGGTGTCATTTCGGCAGGTCAAGCTTCCCTTGTACTTTAAGAAGCAAGGACAAAAATCTGACATTTGTTTCTGCTTCAGAGAAGGTGTTAACTTAGTCAGATGTTGACTCATAGGTTAAGTTGAAGCTAAGGCTTTCATACAGCCACGCTGCCAGACAGAACCATCTGACTGTAGACATTTGCTCATGACCAGTCTCCGAGGAATAGACATCAGTTGGTTACAGTACACAGACAGAATCAGATGTCTGTGGGGTTCACCAGGGCAGTGCTTTATAACTTGCCCCTGTGTTTGCACATACAGAACATACATGCAGGCAGAGTTGGCCTGATGAGTCTTGAAAGTTTTCTGGGGTTATACCACCTAAAGTATTGAAGAAGTCTGTTTAAGCTAGGAGGGTGGACTTGCTTTAAAGCAGATGAGTGTTCCTGTCGCCTCTGCTAAGGGGGAGTTTCCATCACCAGAAGGATAGTAACTAATTGGGGCAGAGAGGGGGGTAAAAATGTTAAGCTTCCACACAAATTTCTGAATTGTTTTTTGACCATGGCTTCAGTCTCCTTCTAGCACTGGAGTCTTGTGCATCGTGGGAAGAAAAAAGATCCTTTCTCTCATAAGAAAGGTGCCAGAAAAATCATGGATCAGAATTTGTCTTCTGATCCATTGCCATAGATAGGGCAAACTGCCTCCCGAAAGCAAGCAACTCGCTTCTCAGGGCTGTTGTCAGTAGGAAATTCAGAACTACCCAAAATGGCATGGGTGTTGCCTGTGTTCTGTCCCTATCCTTGCTTCGGCTTACCCCGACAGCAGTCCTTCCTTCTGGCATCTCCTTGTGGTCTCCTGCTCCCTGAGGCTGCTTCTCTTCCAGGCTTTCCACATGCCAAGAACGGAGTCTGGTCCTTTCCTAAACTAGTCTTTTGAAATTTGTTTTTCAACAGTGAGCTCATACACAATTCCTTCTGTAAAAGCAGTTTCTGAAAGAGGAGAAAAATGTAGGAGCCACCACTCTCTTTCCCAGTCTTAAACTAAGAGTTTCTCTCTCTCTCTTTTTTTTTTGTACTTTTCCAGCAATTGCTTTTGTTCAGCATTTTCAAATTAATTCCTTTGGAGTCAAGCTATGAACATTAACCTTTTCTGTATTGTCATAAAAATGGCAGAATCAGGCCCAGGAAATCTCTCAACGTCTCCTCGTTTTCTTTAAAATCTTTTTACCCCATTGATTCTGTAGTGTCAGTAATGCTTTGGAAGGTGGAGGAAGATGTATTTTTCTGGCTTGAGTGGAAGGTGCAAAATATTTCACTATTTTTTTTCCTCATCTTTCATAGTGTCAGCAGTTTCAAAGTGCTTTGAAAGCATGTCGAAGGAATGACCCTTCATTCAAAATATCAAAATTTGTAATAATTACAGTTCTTATTATGGGGGTGGTGATCTGGGAGTGGAAGGATATCTATTAATGCACAAATAACAAGCTGTGTGGTTAAATCATCACCATTATTTTTGTGACCTTCACAAACTAACCTGGCAATACTCAAGAGGAAATAAAAATGGGACAGTTTGTAAAACTCCTTTTGAGTCACCTTTCAAAATAATCCCGTACTGTTTGAGTGTTTGCTGTTGTACAGAGGATTACACCAGACCACAGAACCATACTGTGGTTCCTTAATTGGTATTTTAGTCTTCCAGACAGGAAACACAGAAGTTCCCAAATACAATTTCCTGATAGAGAATGGAAGTTGAAAGGCAAAAGCCTATACTGGCGCTTTATTATAGTTTGTAGTTTTAGCTCTGCACAGAGAACCATACAGGTGAGTCATTCTTCCCAATGGGGATAAAAAGGTTATCAGTGCTTTCTTTGTTCATTTTAAATATATGTCTAAACATCTGTTTTGTAGTATCTTTATGTAATTTTTTAATAGTTTTTGCTATAAAAATTATACTAGAAATTTTTTCTTTTTTAATGACTGCTAATAGAAATATTTATATTTCTTTCAGATGCAGAAAAGAGGCAACCTGATGTCTTCCATGCTTTGAAATTGGGTAAGTAGTGATAGGATCCTTCCACCATGTCTGGTTCTTGTAATTTCAGAGCATGTTTGTTTGCTAACACAGGAAATCATGTTTTTATATATGACTTTGTTTTTTTCCATATTTTTCTTTTCATTTTAAAAGTACATTTATTTCTGTAGTTTATATTTTTTCACGTTCCAATATGAGAAAATATTTATGAACTCCTGGTTGTGCCCTTCATGCCAATATGGTGTGATACAGTAGTTCCAATTATTCCAAAACCATGCTACCGTTACTATGATTTTTTTTTTCCTTCCTCATAAACTTGAAGTTTGAAAACAAAAGTGCTGATTGGTGCAAAAATTATGCTGGCCTCTACTTCATGTGAGCTTTGTAATTGCTTTTTAAAATTGCTTCAGGAAAAAAGATCACGGTGCACTGAAGGCTGGCTCTACCCTTCCTGACTGTGATATGTGCATACAGAATAAGTTAGAGTTGGGCACAATTACCTCTCCAACTTTTTTGTCCATGTACCAACTCCTGACTGTAACATAATCATGAAGCCTTTAGTATGGTTCCCTTTCTTGCTTTCAGCAGGGGGCTGCAACCTGAAGAGAGCTCTGAGTTAGCAACTTTCACAGTTTCTGATAGATTTTGAGATCTTTTTTATTATTATTATTTGTAAATGAAGATTTTTGTGAAGGAAAATGCCATTTTTTCTAAACAACTCTCCAAATGGTTTCAGCATTGTGTCTTTAGATCGACAGTTATCTTCCAGGTTTTATTGTTGCTGCATTCCTATTGAAAAGTTAGAGGTGTGTTTTAAATGGTCAAGCCTGGCCTTAGCGTTCGGATCTCATCCTGGGTTTGGTACAATGGTTTAACAGTTGCTTTTCAGTTAACCATCTGTCTTGGTTTAACCCACCTCCGGGCTAAATGCTAGCAATTGCTCTACCACCCGAAAAACCCCTCCCAGCCGAGAAAGGGAAATTGGGGAAAGAAAGGAAACTTGTGGGTTGAAATAGGTTGAAATAGAAACAGATTTAACAAAACAATAAAACTAATACTAATACTAAAGCCATGTAAAGTACACAGAGTTATACTCGGCCCAGATATTGGTTGCGAGCTGCATGCTCCCAGCAGCAAACACTGGTCGACGAGCACTGCGAGCGGCACAGCTCCAGCGCAGGGAGAGCAGGCCTCGGGAGCAACGTGACGGGTGAGACCCTCCTGGGATGGCAGCCATGGAGAGAGAACCGTTCCCAGCAGACTCCCCAGTTTATGGTGAGCGTGATGTTTATGGTATGGAATACTTCTGCTGGCCTGCCTGGATCAGCTGCCTTGGCCTCCATTTCTCCTAGCTTTAGCACCTGGCTGTCTCAAGACTGCTGGAGGCCTTGATCACTATGGAAACCCAGATACCATGGCTGGCCGTGAACTCAAAGAAAGTGTCTTACCAGCTTTGTTCTCACAGTAACGGGTGCTGCAGTCGTCTTAGAAATGCAGCTTTCCTGAACAGAAAACTGATTTTATGCTTTTTTCCCAGCAAAACCAGGACACCATCCTAAATCACCTTCTCAGGAATTTTATGGCTTTTCAGGCTACCAGAACTGGAAATGGGCAGACATGGTAGTGAAGAAGAAAGAGGTGATAGGTAGCAGTACTGGGAGCTCTCTCTTAAATGTCGACTCTTCACACGTAAGATACCCAAACTTCTTCCTGGGAAACCGTCAGGTCTGTAAGATTTTAGAGAGTTCAGATGCCCTTCTTGTACCCCTGTGACTTTTAATTTGAGATTTATAAACATTAGCGCTGTGTCAGAAGGAGTCTTATGGGGGAGCCAAATGAATACTGGTCAGCATACTCCTTTTGTTTTTTTCTGAAATACTTGCCTATGGATAGCAGCAGTGTTAAAAAAACCAACTGTGGTGAGTTGACCTTGGCTAGAGGCCAGGTGCCCACCAAAGCCACTCTATCACTCCCCCTCCTCAGCTGGACAGGGGAGAGAAAAGTATAACAAGAAGCTTCTGGGTTGAGATAAGGACAGGGAGAGATCAGTCAGCAATTACGTCACATGCAAAACGGACTTAACTTAGGGAAATTACTTCAATTTTTTTACCGATCAAATCCAAGTAGGATAATGAGAAATAAAACCAAATCTTAAAACACCTTCTCCCCACTCCTCCCTTCTTCTTGGGCTCAACTTTGTTCCTAATTTCTCTACCACTTCCCCTCCGAGTGGCACAGGGGGACAGGGAATGGGGGTTGTGGTCAGTTCATCACACCTTGTCTCTGCTGCTCCTTCCTCCTCAGGGGAGAACTCCTCACACTCTGCCCCTGCTCCAGCCTGGGGTCCCTCCCACGGGAGGCAGTCCTCCATGGACTGCTCCAGCGTGGGTCCTTCCCACGGGCTGCAGTTCTTCACGAGCTGCTCCAGCCTGGGTCCCCCCACGGGTGCTGTCCTTCAGGAACAGACGGCTCCAGCCTGGGTCCCCCACAGGGGTACAAGTCCTGCCCGCAACCCTGCTCCAGCCTGGGCTCCTCTCTCCATGGGTCCACAGGTCCTACCAGGAGCCCACTCCAGCGCAGGCCTCCCACAGGGTCACAGCCTCCTTCAGGCATCCCCCTGCTGTGGCGTGGGGTCCTCCCCAGGCTCCAGATGGAGATCTGTTCCACCAGTGTGGAGCTCCATGGCTGCAGGGGCACAGCTGGCTCCACCAGGGTCTTCCCCAGGGGCTACCAGGGACCCTCTGCTTCAGCGCCTGGAGCCCCTCCTGCTGCCCTGGCTTGGGGGTCTGCAGGGCTGCTGCTCTCGCACATTCTCACTCCTCTCCTCTGGCTGCAGTTGCACAGATTTTTTTTCTCCCCTTCTTAACTCTGTTACCCCAGAGGCACTGCCACTGTCGCTGATGGGCTTGGCCTTGGCCAGCAATGAGTAACTGTCTTGGAGCCGGCTGGTGTTGGCCCTGTGAGACATGGGGGAAGCTTCTGGCAGCTTCTCAGAGAAGCCACCCCTGCAGCCCCGACTACTACCGAAATCTTGCCACACAAACCCAACACACCAGCTCACTAGGTTAAGAAGTGTCCAGGCCAGAGTTCAAAGTTAATTCTTGAGTCTGTGTCGGTTTCAGGGTTTCTGTTTAACAAGGTCTCTGATGCGGGTCTGTGTTAAAAAAGCCACCTGCTGTTTTTTACTAAATTGGGACATAAAATGGTAGTTCTGTGCTTTTATATCTTTCCTGTTCCAAGAAATTAGCTGAGAGGCACAGGTGGGTGTTTAGTTTCAGTGAGTGCATTCAAGTGCCTGCAGGGTTTGTCTGAGATTCTGACAGGCTTAAAGTTGAGAATTTTTCCATTTGCATGGCAGTTGATGATTTGCTGCTTCTTGCCTCTGTTCCTACAGTGGCACATATTCGGTCATAGAGATCTTTTTTCCTCTTAACTTCTCCCCTGCTTTTGCCTGCCATATGTCATCAAAAAAGTAAGGGAAGTGGGTGAACTTAAGCTCTTTGCTTAAGATACCCCTGACTACCTGATACATTTTTAAGAAGTGCTTGTTCCTACTTTTATTAAGGTTTAGAAGAAGAACCACAACCTGGTTAAAATATGTTCAGTAGCATACTTTGGACAGCTTTCCGTAATCTAGAACAAGAACTCAGTGACTACCAGCCTCTTTATGTGGAAACATGAGCGTTAGGTTCACTTTTAAGGAAATAGATGACTGGAATAATGCATTACTCTTGAGCAAGGAGTAGGGAAGTTTTGCATTGGAGATTAGTTTAAATATTGGAGGCAGAATTAAAAAAACCCCGACATTCTGAATATAAGAAAGTTGAGCACTGGAATAGGTTAATTGATTGTGAGGTTGTGGAACTGTATCGGTAGAGATTTTTAGAATCAGTGAATCACCTTTGTAAGAGGAACTTATGGGTCAGTGTGACACAGGGCGTTGTTCTACCTGCTTAAGGCAAGGGATGGTCTTCGCCACTTTTCAGAGTGCCTTTTTACCCATTCTCTTTGATTCTAAAATTGTTGCTTTCTGTGATGTCAGCCTATGGAAATGGAACAACAATCTTTGTCCTGCTGACATCAGTTTTCCTTGCATGACATCATCTTATGACCATTTAATAGAAATATTCCCTACTGGTGTCTTCCCATGTGGGATGCACTGCAGTTTATACAGCCTTTATAGTTTAGTTGTTAATTTCAGTAAATGATTCTTGTAATGGGATTGTATTGTAAGTGTACAGGTAGGGAAAATGATGGAAAACAGTGCCTCATGCTTATGCCACCATTTCATGTAGCCCGGGAAGATGTACTGGTTAACTAAAAGACCAAAGATCAGTACAAGTATTTAGCTTTAGTGTTTCAGTTGCTCTAGAACTTTATTTTTTCTGTTTTAATGCCACTAAATGTAGACCAATGTCAGCAAATAAAAATATATACTAATTTAGTGGCTAAGTAGTTCTCTGTTGCTCATGTAGATTATGTTTTATCGCTGTTTTGCAGGAAACTTTCAGCTGGTTAAGGAGATCGTTGATGAAGACCCAAGTCAGGTCAATATTACCAATGTTGACGGCGCGTCTCCGTTAATGATTGCGGCTGTAACTGGACAGCTGCCCCTTGTTCAGCTCCTGGTTGAGAAAAATGCTGATATTGACAAACAGGATAATGTTCATGGCTGGACAGCACTAATGCAGGCCACATACCACGGGTAAGGTATATGCTGTCTTTGGGTCTAGCAGTAAAGAAGTTTCATTTTCTTACATCCCAATAGAAAAAAAATCTTCCTGATAGTGCCTTTGGGAGAAGAGGGGACTTACAAGACGTTGAGAGACTTGTGACTTCGGTTTCCCTTGACTCTTGCACTGCCCTCAGTTTTTCAGAGCAGACCTGAATGCCATTTGGGCAGGACACAGAATAAGTGTCACATTTGGGAACTTAAATCTTGCTCAGTAAGTGCTGGGAACGTAGTGCTCCAGGCAGGCACTAAGAGCTGAAGATTTCAACTTCAATCCTTTGATGCTTTTTAGTGTTTCCTAAAATAGTGTCACCCCTGCCAGGGTTGTAGGCCTATGTGAAGTTGTGAAACTTCAAGGCAGTCACCCTTCTATGTGCCATATTTTCCAGTCTTAAAACCATTCTTATGTTCCCTTATTCAGACTTCAGTTTTCATGGAGTTTTCTGAAATGCGCCCACTGGAGAAATGATTGTCATTTTCTCTAAAGCTCCTTCATAAATGCAGGTAGGCACTTAAGACTCAGACCCCAGGAATCATAGAATAGTTTGGGTTGGAAGTGACCTTTAAAGGTCATCTAGTCCAACCCCTCTAGTGAGCAGGGACAGCTTCAACTAGATCAGGTTGCTCAGAGCCCCGTCCAGCCTGACCCTGAATATTTTCAGGGATGGAGCATCTATCACCTCTCTGGGCAACCTGTGCCAGTGTTTCACCACCCTCATTGTGAAAAATTTCTTCCTTATAGCTAGTCTAAATCTACCCTCTTTTAGTGTAAAACTATTGCACCTTGTCTTATGGCAACAGGCCCTGCTAAAAAGTCTGTCCCCATCTTTCTCAGAAGCCCCCTTTAAGTAATGGAAGGCTGCGGTAAGGTCTCCCTGGAGCCTCTTCTTCTCCAGGCTGACCAAACCTAACTCTCTCAGCCTGTCCTCATAGGAGAGGTACTCCACCCCTCTGATCATTTTTGTGACCCTCCTCTGGACCCTCTCAAACAGGTCCATGTCTTTCCTGTGCTGTGGGATCCAGAACTGGACGCAGGACTCCAGGTGGGGGTCTTGCCAGAGTGGAGTGGAGGGGTAGAATCCCCTCCCTCGACCTGCTGGCCACGCTGCTTTGGATGCAGCCCAGGATATGGGTGGCCTTCTGGGCTGTGAGGGCACATTGCCAGCTCATGTCCAGCTTTTCTTCCACCAGTACCCCCAAGTCCTTCTCGGCAGGGCTGCTCTCAAATCCCCTCACCCCCCAGCCTGTACTGATACTGGTGGTTGCCCTGACCCATGTGCAGGACCCTGCACTTGGCCTTGTTGAACCTCATGAGGATCACACTGGCCCCTTCCTCAGACTTGTCCAGGTCCCTCTGGATGGCATCATCCCTCAGGCATGTCAACTGCATCGCTCAGCTTGGTGTCATCTGCAAACTTGCTGAGAGTGCACTCGATCCCACTGTCTGTGTCGCTGAGGAAGATGTTAAAGGGTACTAGTCCCAAGACAGAGGCCTGAGGGACACCACTCATCACTGATCTCCATCTAGACATTGAGATGTTGACCCCTACCCTCTGGATGCGACCATCCAACCAGTTCCAGGAATTGGCCTGGTATTTCACTTGTGATCTCTGTCATATACTTGGCATTCTCTGAATACAGGATGTTTGGTTTAGGAAGGTTGTATTGTTGTAGACAAGGCCCTCAGCAAGCTGAAGATTCACTTCACTGCCTGTTAATGCTCACATTAGTTGTACAAATACAAATATTCTGCTCCAGCTTTTAATTTTAGTCAGCAGATCTCATTGGACTATGAAAGTGCAACAGAGGGGCAAAATAGGAGGTCAAGTTGTCATTGCTTTGTGAAAATTTTCTGAAGTAGTTCCTGGGACCTACATAAGATGAGATTCTTTGCTTCCTCACCGATGCAGTACTGAGAGTAACAATAGGCATTTCACAGAAATGCCTGAGGATCAGGTTTTCTGGTGCAGCCGTTCTGCTTAGCAGCAGCCACCCCAGTGCACAGCTGGTGTAGAAGCAGACAGCAGAAGGTGATGTGCAGGGCTGCTGTCCCCTTGCTGGTACTCAGGCACTTCTCTTGTCTGTGGAAGCACAGAGCACAGCTGAGTGCTGCGTGTGTTCAGATACTGCCTGTTCAGTTTCCTCAAGGACTGTGTTACAAAAATTCCTTTCCCTATTATATCAGCTGGTCTTCATAGTATGAAATTGTATGAAGCTTGCTAATACACTTAATGTTTGAGGCAGTGGAATTTTACTGGAGACTTTGGTATTGTTCGTGCTTAAGTAAAACAAACTGAAGGACACGAGCTCAGTGGGAGGACCAGAAGGACATCTCAGCCCTGGAAATAAGGACTTGGCTTCTTAGAAACTTAGAGCTGTTCACGAAGGATAAAAGACACCCATAGCCAACCAAGATAACATCAGCATCCTAGCCCCCTAACACATCCTTGAAACCCTCCGAGTGTTGTCTGGCATCATAGATAAGTAACAATAGCAAGACTGACTGACATCTGGATCAGTAGACAAGCAACAAGAATGCTGCAGAAATACAGTTGCTTTGCAAAGTTTTACTATGATTAGTAGTTGGTAGCGTGGGTGTTAGTCATTAGTCAAATCATGTTGTACCTAAACGCTCGAAGTGTACGAGAACCCTGTGTAAAACCACATTAGGGGTGCCCCACTTTGTCTGGGACACCCCATGTGCATGAATAAATATTTACCCTTGTAATTCTATACTTTGCGTCCTAGTCTTTCTCCTTGATTGGCATGGGCCAGTTGCAAATTTTCGTAACAACTGGAAATCTTCAGCCTCCGCAGAGCCTCAGCTTGCCCCTTCTCCTGAGGAGCAAGGGTGGAGGGTCTTTGGTTTGAAGGGAGAGCAAGCAAGGTCTGTGTGAGCCAGGGACACTAAAGGATTGTCTCTGTGTGCCCTCAAGGTGCAGGACTGGAAAGCAGGATGGGGTGGGGTGTGACAGTTTTAAGGAAGAGAAGAAAAGTAATGGGAAGTATGCAGAAGAGCTGTGGTAGGGGTAAGCAGAATTTCTGTTAGAAGAGAGGAGGAACATTCCTCCTCCGTTTTAGGTTGATTTTATTTGCGTTGAGTTCAGAAGTGAAAACTTCGTCTGTAGGATAAGATGTTCTGAAGTGGAAAGGTTGAGATCTGCTTGTCAGCTTCAGTATTAGAGTTTGCAGTCATCTATTGCTACTTACAAACATTTTTGCTCTATATTGCTTATGTATGTCAGAGTTTGTTTTTATACAAGGTCAGGCTCTGCTCAAGAGGAGTTTTGTATTAATTATGTTTTCCCTAGCTTTGTTGGCTGTTCACTTATTTTGTAGGCTGAATTACAGTATCGTTTTTAACTGACGAGGCAAGTCCTGCTTATTTATTCAGGTGTAGGAGAGGGGCTAATGGGAATGGGATAGTGAATTCCTTTTATGCAACTAGTTTTTATGAGGTTTTTGTTGGAAGGTGTTTCTGTTGGTTATCATTTAATGCTGACTGGTTTTGCATTTTAAACACCTCAAGGAAGTGGTAATGTGCCTTATCAACTATATAATTAGTATTTTCAATTAAGTGAAGTACTGTTTGGAGTTTATAAATTATGTTCAGTCAGTTTGGCTTTTCCATAGGCAATTTCTAACCTGTTTTGAATATGAAGTTGTGTTGGAGTATTAGTGATGGCATATGTTGACTACTGGAACTGACCTTTGTATTTCCATTTGCTTTTTTTCCCTAGGCATTAATGGCCTTACATTGGGAGGGTGCTTGGCAGCAAATTCCAGAGTCAGTTCCAAAGAGTCAGCTTAAGAAACTGACTATCCAAATTAGGATTTTTCAGGCATGTTGATGAGTGTAACTCATAGTGAGTAAACAGTGACTCACAAAGGAATCATGGGAGCTTCTGAATAGCTTGTGAATAAATTTGAGACTTGGTTAGCTATAGAAGAGGTAAAACTCTGATCTCTAATTGAGGAGCAATGGTATAAAAAGATGAAAATGGAGTATTAGGGTTTTCTTTTTTCTTCTTTTTTTAACATGAGCACTGCCTTTTTTTCTTTCCTTAAAGAAACAAAGATGTTGTAAAGTATTTGTTAAATCAAGGAGCTGATGTCAATCTTCGTGCAAAAAATGGATACACAGCTTTTGACCTGATAATGCTGCTGAATGATCCAGGTATGTTATTTCAAAGAGCACTGAGGAAATGTACAACATAAACAGATAAACATCCCTTCCAATCTAGAAAATACATTAAAGTTGCTAGGAAGGTCCAAGATGGACTCGACCAAGAAAGGATACTACCTGAAAATGGTGGGTTTTGAGTTAATTGGATAGATGAGTGTATACATTTATGGGATAACAGATTTTGTGCATTCCTCTTGCCTTTGTTTTTGAAGCGGCTCCAAAATGTGTTGTTTGTGTCACTAGAGCCAGTTCAGTGGCATCTGACTGTGGTGGCCCAGGTATTCTGTAGTGTCATTAGCACAGAGCTATGAACTGGAGCTAGAAGTTTCCACTCTGTAAACAGCAGTAAAGGGACAGGACAAAGAGAGTGCAGTCAGAACAAAACTAGTGAACGCCTAGCTGAACTTCGCACTAGGTCTGTAAAGGCTGTTTTTATGGGAGTGCTTTAGGAAAAGGCAGCATGTTTTGGGCAGACTTCAATGAAACACGTTTAGTTTTTGTTGTAGTTTGTTTAGCCTATGTAATTTCTTATTGTTAACCTTGCCTGGTACCTGAATTGCTTTACCTGAAGCTAAAAAACACTACTGCTGATGGAATTAATGTTTGTTTTCTCTGTATTTACTCATTGTGGTGTTTTTGGTCACTAGCAGATACCTTTCCTTTGTTAAAAGTAGATCACTAATAGTATGAAATCTTAGAAAATAAATACAGTGAATTTTTTTATAACTAACATCTTGTAGGACAGAGTAGTAGACAGAGTTTCTACAGTAGTAGAACTGTAGGTCAGTTCTGTTTGTCCTTCTGAAAGTCTTTCCTGACTTCTGTATAAGACACAGATTTACAGAATATTTTTTTGCTTTCCTCTTCTCATCTCATGCTTGTTCTTTTTTCTTCCTCTTCTTTTCTTTTTTTCTTTCTTTTTTTTTTGTCTGCCTTTTTTCTTACCATGTCTTTTCAGTCCCTTCATTGTCCAGGCTGAAAATTTCCTTTCTCTTTGGGATTTAATTGCAAGCTTCTTTTCTGCAACCTACACTTGAAGAAAGAATATTAATTTTTCTCTACTATCTTCTGTGTCAGGTGAGAAAAGGGAGCATCACAATACCGTTCTTAACTTATAAACTGCGAGAGGAGGCAGTTCACTTGGTCACACGTGACTGATTGTGACTGAATAGGATGCTTATTTATATACCACCTTTAGAGAGGTGATGGTAAGACTGCAGCCCACTGTGGGGAGAAGATGTGGGAAACCTAGGTGAAGAAAGAGGGTTTTGGGCATCTTTGTTTCTGAGAGGTAGATCAATTACTACTTTTATGGGATTTAGAGGGAAAGTGTCAGCATATCAGTCATAATTTGGGAAAGCAAAGCAGACTAAACATTATATTGATTTGTTTTCTTTTAGACACAGAGCTTGTAAGATTATTGGCATCAGCATGCATGCAAGTAGACAAAGACAAGAATAAACTAAACAACAGATCCTCTTTGCCTTGTTCCAGAAGTAGGCAATCCTTAAATGTCCCAATGTTGCCAGACGACAAAGGAGGTCTAAGGGTAAATATATTCACTCTTAATAAATAGCCAATGCATTGTTTCCTGTAATGTATGATGCAGAGAAAGTCATTGCTAAGAAGTACTTTGGATCTAAAATGTACCTGGATTTTTTGGGAGGTGATGTGTTCTGCATTCTTCATTGACAGCGCTTTCTGTTTTTATGAAATGTAGCATGTATTCAGCTTTCCTTTTGTCAGATGGCAAGGCAAAGGGAAGACTTTTAAGGAAGAGCACTGAAGCATTTTAGTGCCTAGAAGTAGATCTCGTAATTAAGTAGTGGAAGGTATGTTACAGAATCACAGAATCACTAAGGTTG